AAAAAGGTATCTACCTCCGGCTTGCCGCACTCCGCCGCGTCAGCGTCCGCCCCTCGTTACCCTAATGACAACGATTTTGTTCCAGGAGCACTTTTAGTTCCAGGAACAGTTTAGTGTTACGCTTCGCTAATGGCCCAATGCTTCGGGCTCGTTCGGAGCGCCTCATTTTGTTACTTAATCACTACCTACCTCACCGACGCCCGAGATAAGATAAATAGCGATTCGATACACCTTTAAAGCGGCGAAACATACGAATTTGCTTTTTATATTTTCCATATAGCGTTTCAAATTTTCCATTAAAATGTTCTCTTGTTTGATTCTCGATTGGATTCTGTTAAGGTACAAACTCTTGATCTATTTCGCGAAAGATTATCGGAAAATGTTTTCCAGCAAAGCCCCGGTTTAACTGAATTTTTAAGCTCGATAGATTTGCAATTTCGAATGAATCGGCTTTCTTGTTAGGAGGTTGCTACTTATGTAAAGGCTTTTTCCTTTTTATTCGGTTTACCGCGAAAACCCGCCATTTCCTGACTATGATTTATCTTGCGGTCTCTAAGCTGAGGGTCACTTTAATAAATGTATTCGGGAAAGGTGCTCCCAGAAATGGATGGCGAATGCTCTGGATGCAATAACCTAATATACGAAAATATTTTCCCGTAACCGCTCTATGAAGTATTTCCTGACTGTCTAAATATAAGATACAGTGAATAACGTTATTCATATTTCTTTGTAATAATGCACATTGGTATGTAGTTTATAGTTATTAGTTAAACATACGTAATGGATACCTATATTGAAATCTAGGGTATTTATAAATATGGCATTCTAAGTGAAACATTTCAGTATTTTGAACTCTTACAATAATTATAAATTAAGTTATAATTTTTATTTTTTAAGCATGTAACTGCTCGATGTTTAAATCTAAAGAAAATGTTACTGGAAAAAATCTGTCTGTCTAGTCTGCTGCCTGGCCCGCGTGGAATTATATCTAGTAATATTTTTTTGAAATCTTGCAATAAGTTTCCGTTAGCTTGTTAAAACGGACCACGTCTCTCAGTACAAACGACATAGTTTTTCAGAAATTAGGCTCAAAAACTGCATTTTCACTCTAATATACAAAATATAGTTATCTATTAATTTTAGGCATCCACGTTGTAAACTTAGTTGATAAAAAGTCAATCTTTAAAACTACATTCGGTAAATGCTCGTATATGTTGGGTAATTTTATTGCAAACTACGACACTTTTGATGAGCATATACCTATATAATCAGCTTTTGAAAGAAACATGTCAAAATAGGAAAAAAATCAAGGAGATTATTTATATTCGCGCCCGCATTTCATGCAGCCAAACGAAAGTAGGTAAAGCGGGCAATGTCTTTTTCAATATGTGTCTATGTTTGGGGAAGTCATAAATTAAGCATTAGGATGAAATACGCGCACGTAACATACGTGAGGCGGACGGAATTTGCGCAGGATCCATCCTCAAAAAATTCAGGAAGGGAGAAGAAAAGTTCCAATGACCCGAATTAAGGATCGTAATAAAGGGAACCTTTGGAAAACCATGTGGGAACTATCCTGCAGATGACAGTCCTGCGTTTCGTTTAAAGATGTTCGTCGGTACAGTGGCTATAAGGAAAGGGTTGGCTTTAAAGGTAGAGATGGCCGCTGACCGCTACTTTATTGCTAGCGTCCAAGTTAGGGGATTGCCACATTAGGCGATAGTTTAGGTCAATACTGTAATGTTTGTAGCCGATAAATGAAATATCTGAAAGTAGCTTCTCACAAAGAATGAAATGTCGAATTTATGATCGATGGCGTCTTTTTTACATAAGCTATCATAAAACAAAAAATATGTATTAAATATTGTTAAACAATTATCTGTAATATAATATAACTAGGTGTGAATTCAAAATCATTATATCTCAGCTTTGTTTCATAGATGTTTTATATCGTAAATCAAAGTTTGCATTCGCATTTAGCATGATGTCGTGTTCTTTCTTCTTTGATCAATTATCCAATGACAGGCCACTGAGAAACAAAACTTGAGTTATTTATACTAAAGCTTATTTTCATCCTGTCGGTCCTGTTGATTTTCACTTTGTTTAGTTTTTGTTAATTTCACCACCGGATTAAATAAATATCTTCCCAATTAATATAATATTTTTAAAGAGTTTTTCCGAGTGTAGGCACTTGGTAAGTCACTATACAAGAAATTTCGTAAAGTGTAAACACTTTTACAGAACTTGCACGGGACAACCGCAGCAACATGCGACCGTAAATTGTTGTTTTGTGTCTTCGACAAACTGTTACAATGCTATTTCCCGACTATTTTATTAATGGACTCCTCATACTATCACCAGTAAAGTTTCTTTAAAGATATCTTCCCCGTGCTGTTAAGTCTTCGTTAAGCTGTTCACGAATACAGAGACACTGAATTTAATGAAAAAACGAGGGAAAGATTATTATTGTAAGCTATTACAGCTGCGAAATACTTATAGGAAATGCAAAAAAAAAAACAATAAAAGAAAATCTGCAGTGGGAATCAAGCGTCGTCGAGTCGACATTGAAAATTCGAAAGCATGGAAAACTAAATAAGTTTTGAAAACGAAAACTAACTAATAGAAAAAGAAGTCTATCGGTCACCTGTAGGTTTTAAATTAAAGTAAAAGCATAGCAAGAGACAGAAAAGCCATTAGTATATCAGACGATAAATAAATAAATATTTCCAACACTCACACCAATTACCCTAGCCCAAAGTAAGCACTGTAAGGCTTGTGTTATGGGATGCCAGGGTAACGGATGGAATACATATACATTACATATATAAGTATATTTATATAGAAATACATATTAAACATCCATGACTGGAGTACAAATGCTCGTTTTCATCACACAAACATCTGCCCCCACCTGGATTTGATGACACCTCTCGAGTTGGCGACACCATGAAACCCGGCGTACAAACCACTCGACCACGGAGGTTGTTATTAACATACGCTTTTAATTTTGCAACTCGCTACGACATACAATACAACATCCATTCTTCTTTCTTGATACAGACTACCACAGACTACTTGGATGTTTCTTGATAATTATTCGATAAATGGTCATTACGGTAGTTGTAAATCTTCCTATAACAATATTTAAATACTTATGTAGTAGGTACGCAATACAAATACATAATATGGTATTAATAGATTAACACAAGTGTCTCACAACGCAAGTCTGACATTATTTATTTTGCGGCTAGATTCAGTGGTACGAGCGTTACAGATATTGATTTATCTATTATTCCAATCCATAGTAATGATTCTAATATATGTGCTAAATTATAATATTATTTAAAACAAAATTAAGACTGCCTTGCTATCACTTAGGTTTTCATGTCACAACCACTGAAACAATTTTGATGAATTTTATATGGGAATTGAAGACGAACATAACTACACTTTGTCATCGTATCGTCATCAGCCTAATGTCCACATCGCAGGGGCACAGGTCTTCTCTATGGATAAAATAGGGAAACTGAGCCGTGGGTGCTAACGACTGCAGATGCAGCCAGGACTAACGGCTGGACATGCCTTCGGAAGCACGGATGTGCTTTTGGTCACCCATCTAATGACCGATCATTGCGGAACCTGCTTAATTTTCAGGATCGCAGGACGAATGCGCTTTCCACCTGGGCTATCGCGCTGATCATCATAATAAATGGGCGAAACAGCTGAAGAATGTGTACATTGCAAATATTAAACTATTTATTATTGCACAAAAACTAAGTCGCCACTTGCATTAATAATGATAATATCGCTGAAGGATACTGAATTCTTTTAATTTGAGTTCTTATTCCATAACTAGCGGCGTCCAGGTTAACTTAATTTTTGGTAACCTATGAAAACTAATACATGAAAACCTTTTTTTATTTAAAGAAATAAGAAAGAATTATATATATCTTAAAGCTTTTTTAGCATAGCAGCAAAGGATGTGTTTTCTGAGACTGCAGACAACAATAATATTTCTTCAACAAGTAATTTTAAATTGCAATGGCAACTTTGCCTCAAATCCATTTTAGTTATGTAAGCAAATGTATCTGACATTCAGAAATAAAATAGGCCAACGAGAAAATAACTAGGGAGAACGTTTTATAACACCCCATTTATGTGTTAATGCAAGATTGTAGCAAAAATATCCATGCTCAATAATATTTTGCATATAAAGAGGACTCCCGATCAAGTTTGACTCGGATTTTCCCCTTTGGATCATCTTTTTACTTCACTACTTTTATATTGAGTTCTGAAGACGTTGTAAAGTTATAAAAATACGAAGGGAATACGCAACAATTTCCTACTACTAGCTTTATGATGTAATATAAAGTTAGTAGGTAAGCTATTCGGCAATAATAAGTTATCGTTTAAATCATGCTCTCCTACCGAGAGGGCCCAACGGGGAGCAATCTCTGCTCTCTAGTAGAGAGCAACCGAAAAATATTACGTACACTTACAAATACTCGCGTCCTCGAAATAACGTATTAGAGAGCGCGGAGTATGACACAAATAGTGGTGGTGTGGAAGTCACTAGACTATATAAAAATAGGGCTGAAGATGTAGCGGCGCGGTGGCGGCGGCAGGGCGCCGGCGCCGCAACTCGCCCGCGGGTCGGGTCCCACAGTCCTCGGCCAGACCCGCTGGCGCCCGCCGTGCCGCCGGCCGTCCGCTCCACGTGACACGCGCGCGCCTCGCTCACGTGACTCGACGACGACGACCCGACCGAGGCTGTCGCGCTCCCTACACAGCTGACCCCGCAAACAAAATGAGTGCCGACTGACAACTCACGAACGCGACTCCAGTGACAGTGTCTAGTGAAATTACAACTATGCTCGATTCCCACAAAATCCAAGACTCCCGTCCGGTTGTGAATTACGACAGTTCATCCGAGACATGTCGACTACTGTACCATTTGGTTCATAATCCAGCCTAAAGGGAAGTGCGAACCTTTGATAGACATGGCTTTAACTCTCAAACAGTGTTTGGTTGTAATTATAATATCGTTGTGGCAGGTAACGAGATTGGCATCTACATGCCCAGAGACTTGTTCGTGTGACAAAAATGTAACGTTATGCGAAAAATGTTCCTATAATTTAACATTAAAAGAGAATCTAAAAGTTCATCACTTTTCAGTATGCTGTGGCGATAATATTGAGTTACCGTCGTGGTCTCAGAAGTACGCAAATGTTACATTTGTGGAAGTTACAGCTCATTACGTAGACACATGCAATAGCAGTGTCACAATCTTTAATTTTCCTTTGCTGGATACCTACTCACTGACATTACGAAACAATAATATAATAAAAACAAAAATTATTGTAATGTCACAAAAACTTCAGGAAATAGACCTTTCTTTGAATCAATTACAGTTTATAAAAGAAGGCTTATTTAACAAGTTCACAAACCTTAGAAAACTTATTTTAAGCAAAAACAGGATACTGAATATATTTGAAGGAAGTTTCAGCGGTTTGTCGAAACTGGAATCTTTGGATTTATCTGAGAACAATTTAACCTTGCTAGCAAATGTTTTTACTCCATTGAAAAATTTGCAACATCTCAACCTAAGTAGGAACAATATAGAGTTTATACACGAAAACTATTTTAATAACTGGCTACTGCAACATTTGGATGTATCACATAACAATTTGAGGAAATTAGCCCCAGGAGCTTTGCAGTTATTACCGAATCTTGCTCGTTTATTGCTGACCGATAACCCGCATTTAGGGATTACACAACTGGATACTCAGCTGCTAGTAGGCACTGGACGGCGACTGCAGCAAATCGATGCATCGAGGACGGGACTTTACCAAGTCCCAGAAGCATTTACACATTCTGTGAGATTTTTGTCATTGGTTGGAAACAGAATAACAGCAGTCCGTTGTGGAGATTTAGATAGCTACCCATTACTACAATCATTAGATTTTTCCGATAATAAGATTGCTTCAGTAGAAGACGATTCTTTGGGTAGATTGGAAATGCTTTTATTTCTGAACTTGAATAAGAATTTACTAGCTGTCGTGCCAAAATCCTTACCGGATGAATTAAAATATCTATCTATTAATAATAACATGATAAGAAACCTGTCGATACCCGATTTTAAAAATTTACCGAATCTGAGAATACTATTATTGCAAAATAACCAGATACGTTATATACAGGATCACGTTTTTGATGATTTATTATCACTGGAGATGTTGGATTTGTCCAATAATCCTATACAATCGTTTTCATCCAATACATTTGATGGGCCTTTATCACTAAGAGATTTGAGGCTTTGCTATTTAAATTTATCGGTGCCAGAGAAGGATGGCTCATTCCCGATGTCATCGCCGGAAAGCGTACAGATGCTTCACCTTCAGTCTAGCCCAGGATTAGCTCGACAACTACTTGCTGATTCAGCAGCTTTGGCGGCCTTTTCGCATTTACAGTACCTAGACTTGAGAATGAATAATCTCACAGAAATACGCAACGATTTACTTTTCTATCTAGTCCAACTTAAAACTTTGAGATTGCATGGAAATAAAATAAATTGCACTTCTGAACAATGGATCAAGGACTGGATGACTTGGAATAATAGTTTGTCAAATGGGGAAACTTGTTACTATTCTACATCTGAAACTAAAGCTGACGTAACAAAGTACAATTGCACCTTTTCAGAAACATTTACGATTAGCGAGAGTTTGCCACCCGTAAACCTTTATAGCACAGAAATGATAAATAAGTTACTGCGATATTATGGTTACCTAAATAATAAAACAGAAAGAGGCTCCAAGCACGAAAACAATGTGAATTACGACACAAATTACTCTGGCTTCACAAAATCACAAAAGCTTTTGGGTAAATCAAAACAAAAAGGTCAACTTCTATCTCACATACTACGCAATGAAAATTTATTACCAACTCAGATAGAAAGCAAAAATATACTCACTGATTACTTTAACGAAACGGCCGTAGTTAAGGCAAGAGAATCGTCAAGGAGTTTAGATCAAAATAAACTACAAAATGATCAATTTAGTATTGATCACAAGTTTTTAGATATAGAACCTTATGTAGCTCTGCCAACAAAGAGTACAGAAAGGACTGATCACGATGACTTACTCGAAATTCCCCACAAAAATAGATCTGGAAAACGCTTGAACACACCGATCAATATAACCAGAAATACACCAGAAGATTCGTTTAAAAATACATCAAAAGTAAAGATATTAGAGAAATTGTCCTATGGATCGGAAAAAAAATCTAGGACAGAACATTCTGCCAAAGTTAGTGAACGAACTGAATATTCACCTTATCAATCTGCACATACATATTATGGTCAATATATGGGAACTGTCGCAGTATCCACTTTGATAGTAATGTCTCTGATATTGTGGGCAAGTTTCCGACTGCGGTATCGAAGAAGACGAATGCCAGTGGTTAATGATGAACCTGAAGATCAAATAGAGGTGTCTAATATTTCCGGAGGAGTTCTATGGTGACACCTAAGAGCAGCCGATCCCACACCCTTCGAATATGACTCACTATTAACGTAGCGCTAATGTGAGTATTCTTTGAAATTTAAGTAATTCGTTTCAGGTCGTTTGACGATCTTAGCAACCGCGTAATTAATTAATTTAAAGAGCCTTAGTTTAAGAAGCTTCCATTTAGTTTAGAGACGTATTTTAAAATCTTTGCTTGACTGTATGGAAAATCATTGTAAACTATACTGTTGTTAATTAGCGTGATTAACTAAGCTTCTCAAATTTCTTCAAGCCACCAACGAAACCAAATAGACATTTACTATGAAGTTCTAATTTACCTTTACCGTAAAACACACAAGGCATAAGAAATTTAAGTAACGATAAAGAAAACCTTAATTTTTTTCCGTAAGAGTTTTTTGTAAATGTTTACCAAGCAAACTTCGCAGGATTTTGGGAACTAATGTTTGTTGGCGTATCTCATTATCATTTAATGGTTTTGTTACAGTTCGAAGCGGTCGGCTGCTTGGCGTAGGAGAGGTGTTATGTGATATAATTGGACGTGTGTATTTTTTTATGAATAAGTACAAATAGAGTGATTAGCTGGGCTGCGGGGGTTGCTGGTCGCCCTGCTGGACTGTAAATATGATTATTTCGTTATAGGTATATCGGAGACCATAGAAATAGAAATATTTTTGTGCGAAATCGTAGGGGCAGTATTGTTATTAATAAAAAAAAACTTCTTTTGTTTTGAAAATTAAGTGTTGTAGTATCACATACCATTGTGCCATTATTGCTGACAATTCTACCTAATCTCAACTATTACAACCAACGACACTCTCGGATTAGAATAAAAAGATACAAGGAAACATTTTAACGGGATATGACTCAAATGTTTGGCTGTAATCATGAAATAATAATATTGAACGTACCTACGTTATATGGTATGTACCCACATTGACAGCAAAAATGGCCTTGCTAATGAATAAAATTGGTGTATGTTACGAACAGATGATTATTACGCTATTAACGATGCCGCTTCTGGCACCTGGATTACTCTCGAACTTAATCTGAATCACCACACCTGTTATAATGGACTTTATCAATTCATATTTCGTTTGCATTTTCTGATACTGTCTTTGTACGCTTTATGCAATAAAATGTCTAAAAAGAGAGTAGGTACATATAGCATTTTTTCAAATGGATAATTAGGTTTTTGTTATTGTTTATTTGATAATTTGTTTGTAAAAGTTAACAACATATTATAGGTTTCTCTAACTTCTTCTTTTTCTCTTACAAATTATCGAGTAGACAATAATAAAAACCTCATTATCAATTATTATTGTTGATGTTCACAATATGATTAAATTGTTTGGACACTTTCAATGGGGAATATGCATGATATTTTAGTAGTTATAAAAATATTCAATGTCTAAAAAATTTGCATATCCTGTGGCCATTGTTGTTGTTATGAAATTTTGTCGCTCATCGCGTGTCAAGTATTTGAATTTTCCCTCAGGTCTTTGGCACTTTCCAATTATTAATTTCTCGCTCAAAACGTTTTTCTAATAGAAAATATTGATGGAGACACAATTCAAAAGCAAAAGAGTGTCTATAATGAAAATTTGAGCCTAATTTGAACTACATGCATATTCCCTTTCATTTAGAATGCTATACCGGAGCGGTGGGGGGGTGGGGGGGGGGGCAAGTTACACTGGTTATGATTCGATAATTTCCTTCCACCTGATGATAATGATTCACCGTTTTCTGCTCAAATTGTAGCACCAGCATGGGGAAGTCTAGCCTAGCCCCTTATGAAATATGGAATCTAATTCAATTATCACTTTTCCATAGTGCAGTCAGCAAAGACGTTGGACTTCCATTTTTGCAAAGACAGCTGGTAATCCTGTAATACCTGGTAAAACATTTTTATTAACAAATAACTGACTTTCCCGCAGATTTACACGATACTGTAACTGGGTCCTTTACTAGGCACCTGACAACGGTTTTAATTACTAACTATGTTTTACATACTGGAACGAAAACCGTGTTTACATAGATAGAAATTGGAAATATAACATCCCTTGTAATTTTTGCATACCTTATAAACTATTTTCACTGAGGCGTAGAACTAATGCTACCGCGCCTCAGTAAAAATAGTTTTTGAATGTTAATAAAGTATATTTTATAGTCTCCATACAACTTCTGTCTACTAGATATTAAGATTTTTTGTTGTAATCGAATATTTATTTTGGAATTACACACTGAATGCAATATGTTTTGCCTTATGAACTTGAGATATGTGATGCTTTTTAAATAAGTGCCTATAGTTGTATATCTTAAGCATTCATATGGTTAATACCAACAAAGCAATAGGTATTGTGTCCCTAACAACATATGTAAAAGTATCGATTTTAGATCCTTTACACATTGCACTGTAGCGATGACGACAACAAACTAGATTTCATCAGGTTTTTATAACATTTTGTTACGGTTAGTGTTATGAATAAGAAAATTTGTACCTAAGTATGGATATTTATATGTATTTCTATATATATGTTCATTAGAGTTATTCTATCCGTTACCCTAGTCTCCAATAACACAAGCCTAACAGTGCTTACTTTGGGGCTAGGCTAATTGATGTGAGTGTTAGAAATTTATATATATTATTATTATCATCAGCTGATAGTATTAATATTCCTACTGATGGAGCAGGCTTGGACACAGGCTTTCCCTATGTTTGGGGTAGGTAGATGTCAGGGTCATGACACCCATCATTTGGGCCCAGTGCAGATTGGTGGGTGCTAACGACTGCAGATTTAGTAGGATCAACAGCTTAACGTGCCTTCCAAAGCACGGAGAAGCTCCAGATGATAATTGTTGGCAATCAATCTTTTCTGGCCCTTGCAAATTTGTTTAATTTCCACAACCGCAGAGCGAATCCGCTAACCACTGCACCATCGAGCTTCTGTACTCTTAGTTCTGTTCTTGTAACCAATATTGAATTCGAATAGTTGAATTCGACCTCCATACGCGTCGAAGCTCTGTTCAAATTTCCATACAAAACTTCTTGACATTACACGTGTATCGAGATCGAATTCAACTATTTGAATTCGATATTGATTCGTGCTAAGGTTACTGATCGAGTATCGAGAATATTTAAGCATAAGTAATGTGATACACGCGCTGTGTCAGCTGCTACCGCTGCAGTGCAAAATGTAAAGGCCTTTAAGCAGAGTTTAACCGCAATTTCTATTCCAGCGTTAAATGGGCAACAATTATAATGTTTCGAGAGTAACCCCACAGATCAAGTCTTCCCTGTTAACCCTTTGTAACTATTAACATAATGATATTGCTAATTATCGTGTAGCATACCCGATCCAAGTGCCAAATGTTAATTTAAATGCCAACAAATTGTGTACAATTGTATATTTAGCTTGGAATAAATTACATTTTGGGTTATTTTGTATTAACTCACTTGTTCTTTCTTTGACTTTTTTTTATACATTATTTATTCATAATTGTTTACAATTTATGTCTTTGAATAACGGACGATACAAAAACGCAACGAGGTAGGCAAAAATTGTGAGGTATCTCGAATTGATTTAAAATCTAAGCGAATTCCAAACTTTAAAGTTTTTTTGGTATTTCGTTGCGGTTCTGTGTCTACATTCGTTAGTAATTTAATTTTAAATTATCAAAAAAAAAAACTGTTAATACTGAAAACAGCCGCCAGTTAGCTTTTTAGCATCAGAGAATTTCGCTTATAAAGAAATTATAACTAATTTAAAACCATTTAATATTTGTATTCAATGTTTCACATACATTTATCGATATATTTCATTCATCACTCTGAAACTAAGGTTGTAAACTTGATATATAAACATTTTGAGAACAATGATGTGTAGATATATGTTTTTACGTGAATCGTAGTTTATGATGTACAAATAAATAGTCAAGATTTAATAAACAAATAGAATGAACATGTATTTGATTATTTTTTACTGTTGCTTTCCTATTTTTTTCTTTGAAACAACTGTAAAAGGAGACTTAACTTTCACATAACAAGTAGTCTACAGACCCTTCAGACTTTACTATATTTATGAAGCTAACAAAGATAATATCATAGTATCAATCAGATTAGATACAATATCTAACATACTTAAAGCTTATGAGTCACAGTATTACATAACTTGTTGTACGGATAATACCATTTGTTGTAATATTAAAAGATGGCAAATAGGCATATGACCCAACTATCGCTAAGCTACTACTCAATATATACTAATGATATCAGTGTTTGCCTACTTTGATTCTATCTAATACTTATGCCGTGGAGCCCTGAGATTCTTGGATTCTGCGGCACGTTACGTAAGGTAGAGGTTAAGGTTACTTCCACAGACGGGCGCTCAATTAAGGATAATGACAAACTTTTTTTACTCGTCCATCAAGTATACTATAAAAAGGTATTGGACACGTACTTTTTTCTTCTTCTTCTTCTTCACATCTTCGTACATTTTTTACTAAGAAGAGACGTCATAAGTCATCGCTTTGACTGATTGACAAAAGAAAAAAAAATTTGTTGTCCATTATTTTTCAAAAAATGTCCATTATTGTTTAAAAAATCTAATTGACGAACTAATAGAAACTTGGTTACTGTACTCCGTTTCAGCCCTATACCAGCTGGAAATAAGCTATGATCTACCTATCAAATTAAATAGTGATAAACAGTCGCTTCATACTAGTAATCAAAAATAAACTAATAAGCTGTACGAATTACTAGGCTCGCTAGGAGACAAAAACAGTAATCAATTAAAAGGTCTTTGTGTACGCTTCTACAATAGACTTTATTGTAGAAGCGTACACAAAGCAATATCCAACAATTGACCGTCAATAAATTTAAAGCTACAATAATAGTACATTACTAAAAAAGTGCTAAACGCCGTGCAGTAATAGACAACTTAGGCTACAAGTATCGTATACTATTTTATAGCAAGTGTGACATAAACCCGCCCCGGACGCGGGCAAGAGGGGGGGGGGGGGGGTTCCGAGGGATGCGATTAGTGTTTTGAAAGTAAAATTCATGTATTGCAATCACAAAGAATTGCAATACAGACTGCAAGTCAAACTCTGAAAAGAAAGAATTCCGGTTCAGATTACCATTTTGAAAGTATATTTCAAAAGGAAAAAATCAAATATCATTACAACAAAATAGAATTTCAATGTATCCATGAACGTTTATTCCTTGATTGGCATAGTAAAGTTAAGTTACGCGTATCGTAATGTACTAATTCTACATGAGTGAAGTTGGTCAATTAATTTACACACCGTGCAGAAATAGGCAACTTAGGTCACGGAAAAGCGTGCATACAGTGCGGGTTTAGGTCACACTGTGCTATAAAAAAGTTCTTATGAATAAAGCGATGAGGTGTCTGATTATATTTCAGACAGAAGTGCTTGGGTTTCAACTGTTCCAAATGTTCCAACAGGCTATTTCTAAGTTTATGATAAAGATGACCTTATTTTGTGATTGAC